CTTGGCTAGGATTAATGATGATAGGGAGGGTTTTGACAAATCGTGGGGACGTGTTTTTGGCTGAGATGGTTGGAACTTATTTGGTCAGGGCAATTATCTTTAGTCATGTTGTACGCTTGCTGCACTGTTTGTTTGTGTAGGCACTCAGTAAGGGAATGACTTAAAGATTTGAGTTAACTGATTTGAGTTTTTTTTTAATTTTTTATTATTATTATTATTATTATATTTTTTATATATATATATATTTTTTTCTGTTGTTGTTTGTTGGTTGTTTTGTTTGTTTTTGTGTTGTGAAATGTTAAAAACAAATAAAGACTTGAATTATAAAAAAAAAAGAATGTACCTACCATGTTAAAACTACAATGTCCAGAAGATGGACGACAAAAGGAGCATGTTATTTCATGCAAATTTGTTGTTGATTTGTTTCATGCAAGTTATAATATATTTTAAAATATTAAGTAAAATGTAACATATAATCAAAAAAAGAAGATAAATCTTAGTATTTATCGTGGTGGATGAGTGGAAGCAAAGAATAAAATAAATAATGATCGATCACACTAGATCTGACCTAATACGCCTACCTATATCTTACTTAGAGGTGGAAATAGCTGGGGAAACCCCTTAATATACAAGCTGCAGATCTCAAGTTTTTGGACACACACACTTCAGTGAAGGACAACGTCAACAAACCTAAACAAACAAAATGAAGTGTTTTGTTTTGGTAATAAAAGGCTACTGAAAACAAGTCACGTTTCCCAGCTAACACAGGGAAAGAGGCAGGGTAAAGCCTGGACAGGTTGCTGTTGCAGGACTAACACAGAAAGACCAACAACCATTTATGCCTATGGTACTTGGTGGTAGAACATGCAAACTGCACACCACAGAAAAGCCATGGCCAGATGGTGGAGTTGAACTCAGGCCCACACCATCATGCTGCCCACGATTCCTTCTATGGATTGATTCAGTGCAATGGATTGAGAGTGCCTGGTCGAGAGCCAACGTTTGGTGCTGAAAACCAGGACAAGTTTTGACATGAGGAACCCGTGACATGGGCACGTACTCTCTGGACTCTGTTCCTTTAAGATTCCACTATTCCAGTAAAACCCAAAGATGCTCCATTCCATTAAGATCTGTTGTCTGGGGGAGCACCTAAAATCCATTGACACTAATCGTCATGTTTTGGAAGCCAGACTGAGAAGATTTCACCTTGTTAAAATGATGCATTGTCATGCTAAAAGTAGCTATAAGATCAAACACTATACCCATATCAGGATACACATTAGCATTATGACTCAGACATAGTTTAGAGTTCAGATCATCATGAACTGGCCATAAAGGGCCTGTGGAACACCAAGAAAACACTGTCCACAATCATTACACAACTAGCCTGTATTTTTGATATACGGCAGTTCTAACCAGTCATTTAGTAACATGTTAAAAAATAATGGCAGTTAAAGCTTATGTAAGCTGGTAGAAATGAAATTAAATCAGTTGTTGTGATCAAAAATAAATGGTAGGTTTTCCCAAAGCACTTCACTTACATTTCAGTCTTGTCTCACTTTTCAGAGAAAACAATCAGTCCACATAATCACAGATGTTCCCTCCTTTGTGTCTTTTGGTTTTCAGACTCCCCACCCATCCCACCCATGTCAGCAGAATAACCTGTGACTCTGGTGAATATAAAATGTATGCGTTGCTGAGCTTTTCTGTCTGTCTTTAACTAGTCTGTGTTGTCAGGCATTGTGTGCATGTTTCTTTGGACAGAAAAAAGGCGTGGCTGAAGACATTTTTCACCATGTCGGTCTCTGCTGACCTTTGACCTCTTAACTCATCTCAATATGCTTGTTTTTCCTTACGTAGTTGTTACCATGATTAGCTCGATAGCATCCAAGAGAGTGTAGGTTGATAAACAGCTAAAAATAAAGGAAGATAAGACTAAGACAAACTCCTAATGAGATGATGGATGGTATCCTATGAAAAGCAGAGGGCACCAGTTGTGGATCTGCCAATTCTTGTGTTCTGTGGTAAATCATGATTTACACTGTGCCGGGCAATGAGCACAGGGCCCACAAGAGGACGCCATGCCCTCAGGCCACACTCATGAAGTCCGTTTATAATTGGTCAGAGACATTCACACCAGTGGCCTCCTGGAGGTCCTTGCATAAAGGAACTGATATTGGTCTTGCTGTTGGGTTGAGGACCGTCAGGCACATTGAGATAGCTTTTGGGCAGGTAGTTAGACCATGTATACACACATATGTATATACATATACATATATACATATAAATGTTTGCATGTGTACCCTATCTCCTCTTTAAAAGGTGATCAATGTGAGCGAAACAACTCCCCCCCCCCCTTTTTTTTTTTGTTTCAAAATTAAAAATGCCAAAGATAACATGGTTCTACAGGCAAACTAGTATTTTTGGACCAACAAGGTGATTTCCAGAGAGCAAGTGGCTGAAAAATTGGAATATCTTGGAATGGTGTGTAGTGTGTTCTTTGAAAAAATAAAAATAAAACAAGAAAAGCCTAACAAAATCTCAACAAGGAGAGGACAAATGATAGACTTGTAGTCAAGACCACCTAAACTGAGACCAAGACAATACCAACACCAGAGGGTATCGAGACCAAGACCAAGACAGAGACAAAAAAAGTCTTTAATCTGCAGCCAGATGCTGCTTCGTCTATGGGTGTCAGGCATATTTATGTGTTTTTGCGATGCACTCGCACAGCCCTCCTCATCGCTGTCTACTGTCTCACTCACTTACTGAGAGGACAGACACACGCTCCACTTGACTGTCGCGTCGCTCACGCTCTCTGTTTTTCACATAATGATATTATCCTATATCCTCGCATGTGATTGGCCACAATACGGAAGGATTGGAGCATAGCTGAGCCACTGTGTGAGAGCTGAGCAGCGAAAGGAAATTAAGTGAGGAGCTGGCTCTCGCTCAATGGGAGTCCACTATGATTCACTATAAAGCACTCTCTAAGCACGGCTCTTAGAGCTGATGCTTTTGTGCATGACACATTATCGAACGTGATGATGTGTGTCATGGATACTGTTGACTGACTCCAAATCTCCCGACCACTATGTCGATCTGAGAAAGCAAGACCTAGACAGCGAGACCAAGACCAACACCAAAGTCCGTCAAGACCAAGACAAGACCACATAAAAGTGGTCTCGAGACTAAGACCAGTCTCGAGACATCCAACTCTAACAAGTGAAGAAATGGCAGGCCTCCAAATGAGCATCAATATGTAGACTGGAAGTTAGGGGAGAGGTACAACAGTATATCTACAGCCAACTACATTAAAGGAAGTGGTTTGGGGATCTTTCAAAGCAGTCAGCTTCTTGAATGTACATCATTGGCTTCATTTTTCAGCATGACAATGGCTTCACTGTTTTTAAAGCAGCATGGGATCATCATGGCAGTAAAATAGCAAAAACACCTAAAGAAAAAGTTTGCAAATCCCTTCAAGAAGCCTTGAGAACAATTGATGAAAAACTTAAATTTCAAGCAAGCTGCTCAAGATAATTTTGTGTGTGCGTGACTTTTAAGACAATTAGATTTGTACATGTTCTGTATTTGCCCCACACTGCATTAACCTTTATGTTTTTAGATGTTTCAGTAAATGACTACAGCAGTGTTTCCACTTTATAAAGGTTGACTATTAATATTTTAGTATAATTCTCTATTGATCACATGAAGCCCTGAATGATGACTATTTTTAAGTTTTCCCTTGGGTGCCCTAGATTATGAACGCTTACCACTGTCTGATAACGCCATCTTGTGTCCAGCGGCGTATACATGGTAGTGAGCACTAGTGATGATAAATTTGATTCTTTTTACTGAATCGAGTTTTAATGAGTAACTCACCAAAGTGAATCGTTATTTGAGTCATTTGATTCACTGAGTCAGTCGACAAGAGAGTGCAAAAAATGTACATTTTCACTCAAACTTAATTTGTTTCTCTTTTCATGTAAATCCTACTGCTAAGATGAATGATTCTAAAAGAAAACCACTATTTTATAGAAACAAAAAAGAGCAAAAACATTTCTAAAATTAAGCAATTTCCTATCAAAATTGCTTAATAAACATTTTATTTTACTTTAATATATTTTTATTTTTTATTTTATTAGTATTTTCCTTAAATGTGTTAAATATATATATTTTCTCATCTAAATGTCCACTGAGCTGTGAGCCAGGGGGCGGTAATGCGCCTTAACATTGGTTGACAACCAAGAAAAAGAAGAAGCTGTGAGCCAGGAGGGAGGGGGTGAGTGAGTGAGTGATTCGTTCGCTTTATGATTCAGCACAGGAGGGAGAGGGTGAGCGAGTCCTGAGTGATTCGCTTACGCTTACGATTCAGCACAGGAGGGAGGGCGTTAGTGAGTCCTAAGTGATTCGTTCGCTCTATGATTCAGCACAGGAGGGAGGGGGTGAGTAGCTCAAAGTGCTGTTAGCATCTTAGCAGAGCGATGCTACTGTGAACCGAGGAGCTATTTTCTTGATGTGAGCTTCTACTCAGGGTTTTTTCTTCCAGTTCAGAGCAGAAATTTTTTTGTTACGATACTGGATGTTGTCTTTTTCTCCACAATTTTAATTATAAGCTAGATACATTTCTGCTAACAGCAACAGGGATAAGTCAGTGAGTCAGTTGGGCTTGTGAATCATGATTCATGAGTCAGTAAAGTGATTCTCGAGTATTGAACGATTCGTTCATGATTCGCGCATCACTAGTGAGCACGTCCCTGTGGGAGGAGACTGTAGCTCCCTTTCACGCAGCTTGTGTGGAAGCTTTGAGTTCGCAGTTTTGTTGACTCAACTTTTAAAGCTAGATTCTTCGGTAAGTTTAAGACCCTTATAGGGAACTTGCAGACCAAAAATCGACGGAGAAGCAACAAACCCGAAGACACCAGCTCAAAGGTCTGCTGCTAACAGGAAGTTGTTCACGTGATTTAACAAATAAAGGTAAGAAATGTTCCACATTCGCTACAATATTTATGCAGCTGTCATTGAGACTTAAATGTGTTTTTCCACTGATGTGCTAGACTACTATCAGGGTCTGTTATATCACTTACATTCAGGTCACTATATTTCATTTAGTATTATATTTTTTCCAATACATGTGTAATAAAATTAATATAGGTTCCAGACAGGTCGCCAGCAAAAACTAGTATTTTAATGACTTGCCCAAAAATTTCAAATGTTTTGGCATTTTAAGGTATACAGTGTAGATCAGTGGAGCACAGTAATGACACTGAATAATTGCAAAAAGGAAAAACAAAATGTAACAGTTGTTCTTGTTATTGACCACATTCTACAGTAGAGGTGTCAGTCATGTTAAAGGTCCAGTCCGTTTTTTGGAGGTGTGGTCTTAAACTTTTGATCAGCTGTAAAATAGCTGTTTTAGTTTAAATGTTGTTTTCAATAAATTGCATGCCCCAAAAATGTTTTCTTTCACTCCCATTTCTTCTTGTTTTCATGTTGAAACTTGTTCAGATCCAACCATGCAAAATATGATTTTTTTTTTGCCATTTTTCAAGTAGTCTTAAACTTTTGATCGGAACTGTATTTAATACAAATGCATATAATGCTTGAGTGATTCAATTCCAAATCCAAGTCAAGTAATATGTTTGTGTATTTAGTTCAGGATGGACAGGAAGCAGTGTTGTGTGAAGCTGTCGGTTCAGCCATCCAGAGGGCTCATGGATGAGAAATTCATTGTCCTCGTCCAGAATGCCCTGCCTGGTTCCCAACTGACCATCCGTGCCCTGCACCAGTGTGAAGATGGACACAGCTGGGAAGCGTTTGGTCACTACACTGCTGATACCACAGGGACCATCAATGGTACATTGTTCAGTACTGAGACCTAGAAAACTAAGAGAAGAAAATGTAGAAAGATGTAGAAAGACATTATATATAATATATACAATAGGTGAATGTGCAGTAGTAGCATGTATGCAGCAAGCAGGTGAATTCTGTACATTAAGTGAATTAAATAAGAATAGACAATCTGACTATTTTACAAAATAGACAATATGAACATATTTAAAATTAAAGGAATTTGAAATGTACATTGTGCCGGTGGGTTTAGAGTATCTAGAAGAGAGTCCTGTCTCAGTCACTTATGGATGATGTGAGAGGGCAGGTGTGTGTGTGTGTGTGTGTGTGTGTGTGTTGGGGGGGAGAGGAAGCAAGAAGAATGAGTTGAGTAAAATTTGACTTATCTGACTGTTATGTTTCACATAATGTGCCTTACAATCCGGTGCGCCTTATTGTCAGAAAAAAATGGTAGCCATGAAAGCTACCCCCAAATTTGGGATTATAGATGACAGAAATAACATAATGTAATGAGGTAATTAAAAAGTTAATTACATAACTGTCGTCAACAAAAGGTGCTTTATCTCTTGGCTATTACTGTCGCCCGGCAAAAGTTGCAGATGATATTGCTTGCAGCCGCTGCAATGCTTTCGACCAAGACAGGCGCAGATTGATGATACCATCAACATGCGCTATCGCGGCAGAGCGGTATAAAATGGTAAATGGCCTGTATTTGTATAGCGCTTTTACTAGTCCCCCTTAGGGACCCCAAAGCGCTTTACACACCCAGTCATCCATCCATTCACACACACATTCACACACTGGTGGAGGCAAGCTACAGTTGTAGCCACTGCTGCCCTGGGGCAGACTGACAGAAGAGGCTGCCATATCGCGCCATCGGCCCTTCTGGCCAACACCAGTAGGCGGTAGGTGAGGTGTCTTGCCCAAGGACACAACGACCGAGGTATAGTCAAAATCTCTACCGTTGGCCAAATTCATATCGCTTCTATCATATACCGTTTATACCGCCCACCCCTATGTGCACGTATCTAAAAGATTGTGTTTTATTTGACTTTTTTTAGTTTCAGAGGATCCCAGTATAGGTGGGACATATTCCGGAGTCGAACAGATGGGTCTACTGTGGAGCTTCAGACCAATTCCAGGCAGCAAATCTGGACTGAGGTAGTCTTTTTGTGGAGATGACACCAACGCAGAATCCAGTATTGGCACCATAGATAATTCTCCCATCTCTCCTCAGGATGCGAAAGAAGAACATCCAGACTCCCATGGAGGTCACAATTTCTGTTTACCAGGGTCACCAGACAGAGGGCTTCGCAGATCTGGTGCCATTCTCTGGTGTGGCGGTGGAGCGCTGGTATATGGCACCTGGTGTGCGTAGGATTCCAGTTACAGAAGGTGGACTCAACGCAGCCCTTTTTCTGCCCTCGGGTAAGTCCTGAAGAAGGTCCACAGTGAGATATCCTGTGGGTGTAAATTAAATCAGCACATGTTTGTTAACTTGTCTTAAGGTCCTGGACCTTTTCCTGGCCTGCTGGATCTATGGGGGGGTGGAGGGCAGTTGGTGGAGTACCGTGCAGCGCTCTTGGCCTCTCATGGATTCGCTAGTATGGCCATCGACTACCTGACCGCTAAAATCACCATGGAAACTGGAAAGATGGTGGACAACCAGTATTTTGAGGTACATCTAACAAAGTTAATGTTTTGGTTACAAGGAAACAACGTTTAAAAAAAAAGGAGATGGGTTCAGCTAGTCTCTTTCACCTCTATAGCAATGTTGACCACCCTGGGCTTCCACCTGAGTTATCCTTCTTTTTGACTCCAATGAAGACTGTAGTTTACAAAATCATATTGTCTTCAAAAAGACTTGAAACAAGCAATTAAGCCAAAAGCCAAACAAGAATGTTTACTGATGTCATAGACTGAAGGATTTCAGGTCCATTCCACAGACTTCCATACATGTCTTTTTGCAACCAGATGAATCACCATATGGATCATGGAAAACAAGGTATGTTTGAATACACTTAGACTTCTTGATACTGTTGCGTACATCAGTGAATAAAATCGGTTTTCATAGAGTCTGTGGTAAAAATGAAGTAGTCATGCATTTTGGATCTGATATTAAATGATCTTTAATGCCACTTTCCTCAAACAAAGTCTCTGCAATGTCTGATTACATGCATGCAACAGCATCCTGCCTCCAGCATTTCCTACCCAAGCACTATCTTTGTCCTTGGTTAAATTCTCTTAACCTTTCTGATGTATGAAAACAGCTCAGAAATCTCTGTATAATGTAAACCAGATGAAGTTAGAATGACAGCGAGACAGTTTACAGCCTGAAATACTTTGAATGCTACAAAGCTCTGGGCTTTTAGATGCACCATGATTCATGTCAGGTTGATTAAGACTGAATAAAACATTTGGGTGATGTCACGAGATGCCACAAAGAAATGGGACATCTGATCATCTCAAATCATGTATGCCTTAAAAGATCTTCAGTTTCTTTCATTTCAAATACTGAAATGCAAACTGCCCTTGAAGCTGCTGTCACTATGCTGTGTGTGTGTTTATAGGTAACTAGCCCCATGAAAAACTGTCTCAAAGTGTCATTCTCTTTCACACACGTCTTTAATCAGACAACAGAAACGAGAATGAAAAGTGTTGAAGTTGTTTTAGTTTAAAACGTTTAAAATCAATTAAAATTTGTTGTTCAGGTGTTATGGCATGCATGGTCCCTGCATGATTTTTAAAATATAGATGATATACCATGGACTATGGTTTCTGTCATTCTCAGTTTTAGTTTATATCTTTTGACTTTTGTACAAGATTTTGTGTTTTGCCTAGTAATTATGTTGGTACCTTTATGTTTTGAGGAATTGGGTTTGACACTTCCTGGCCCTAAAAATCCTCTTGAAGAATTCGTTTATCTAACCTTAAAGATCAAAATGAAAGTCCTGGTTTTAGTGTTACCTGTTGTCTGATATATTTTTCCACCTACAGACAGCCTACAGAGTCCTGCAGCAACATCCTCAGGTCTGCGGCAGCAAGATCGCCATGATAGGTCTTTCCTTTGGCACCAGTATCACCCTCAAGATGGCTGTTTACTCTGAAGTTATAAAAGTAAGACATATTTTTATAGTGACACTGGAGCTGGAAAATCAACATCAGTCTATTTTCAGCAACAATGCATGGTCAGGATGAAGAAATAGGTTGACCACTGGCTGTGTTTTTAAAGTCACTGGTTTTGGCAAATTGCAACTTCATCATTTCTTAGAATATTCTTGTCTACCCATCTTATTCCTAATCAGGTCTTTTTGTCAGTTGATAACATCTGTGTATTTTATGTGTTTTTTTTCCAGCTCAGTGCTGCAGTCTGTATCAGTGGGAGTCATGTGCAGCCAGTTGATGGATCTGTGGAAGAAATATTGAGATTCTTTCAGAAGTAAGTTTACGTGTTGTCAGTTACTTTTTAGTTAAAGCCAAATTGGAAATCTAATATATTGAAAGATGTTAGAATAATCCTTTTTAACTTTCCCTTTTAATTTTTTGTCCCATCAGAAATGGTGAAAAGACTCGCTTCAGTGAAAAGAACGAGGTGATCTGGCGAGATCTGCTGTTGCCCATCCCCACCGACCCTTCACTCAAAGTCAATGTGGGTACCACCAGCTAAAGCATATTTCTGTCTTAAAGCCCTTACACACGAGAGACGATAAATCCATGCTTATATTTTGTGCATTAAAAGTCACCTTTGGATTCATCTAATGTAGCCATTCACACCAACCCCGTAATTATTCCTGCTGCTGAGGTAGGATGCAGTAAGATAAACTCATCATCGCTTCACTTTATTTCTTTCACAACTAGGGCTGGGCCATATTATACCGTTCACGGTAATACCGGTACAATGTTAGGCAACGGTAAGAAAATGAAATACCGCAATAGAATATGGATAAAACGCGCATGCGCAGTGCCTTTGTTTTCATACGCACATGGCCGATTGTTGAGTGAAACGGATGAACCAGAATTGGTTTGTAAAAATGGTGCAAGTTCAGTGATGTGGAACTGGTTTGGTGTTTGTCCATCAGATACACAACAAAGCACATTTTTTTTGTAGAACATGCAAGCGGGCCGTCGTTATTGCCGTATTTGTCGGACTAAGGTGCTCGTAAATCTGGGAGTAATCTGGATCCGAAACTCCGTCCCCTTCAGGTCCCAAAGTCAAACGAACACACAGCATCACTGAGAGTTAAAAACTGTCTAAATTCTTTGATCTTTAATAAAACGATCAGCATTGCTGCTTTACCAGGTGTAACTATGAAGCTGAACATCCAGGCATCCATGAAAACAGAATTTATTACATTTAACGGAGTTAGAAGTTAGCAGGAAGCTAGTGGAAGTTAGCTCGCTAGTTTCGCTAGTTACCTAAGCATGATATAGCATGTTCTGACTGAGAGATTTCTGAGTACTGCTTTGCTATCACTTCCAACATAAATGAAGACAGGAAACTAAACAGCAGTGACGTTTGTAGGGTTACTGAAGTTGGGCTAGGTGGTATATAATGATGTGCTATGTGTAGACTTGTAGTCAAGACCGCCTAATCCGAGACCAAGACAAGACCAAGACCAGAGGGTATCAAGACCAAGACAAGACCAAGACCAGAGGGTATCGAGACCAAGACAAGACCAAGACCAGAGGGTATCGAGACCAAGGCAAGACCAAGACCAAGACCAAGTTGAGACGAGACCAAGAC